CTCTTTCCCCTGCAGACAGGACAACTCCCCTTCCCTAAGCAGGAGTGTTAAAGCACTGAAACTGTGCTCCAGACCCTCAGCTTTGGCCCTCCTGAGCCCTGCCTCAGACAGCTAAGGTAAATTCAGCCCTGTGTATCTCTAGCTGGGGACGTTCCAGTCCTGAGATGTCACATTTCATTAATAAATGTCCTCAGGAAACGATTGCAAGAACAAGTTGAAGGCCAGGAAGGCATGGCTGCTGAAGGAAGACTAGAGGCAGCTCATCAGAGTGAAAGTGCACAAGTAAAAGGGATCATGGTCTGCAGATGGCTCAGCAAGAGAGTCCTTTCTGGCAGGGCAGAGAGCTCTTCAGAGCAAGAGAACAAGGCAGAACAAGGTTCAGTGCTTAGAAGTGGAAACAAAGCTCACTTGGATGTAGAAACCTGTTTAATTCTTCATTCCTTAACAGCCTTTAAATCAAGACAGTGTCCATTTCTAAGCAGGGATCTGTGGGCTTGATGTAGATGTTCTTGCCAGCTTCTTGCATTAAGTTTTATGCAGGAAACAATTACCTTTTCTGCTCCCAAATGTGTGTTAGAAAGTTAAGTTCATTCCATAGGGTGGGGGTTTGTTGTTGTTTGCTGGGTTTTTTTCTTTATCTTTCATCCCCTACCATGGCCAGGGCTCTGTTTTCTGTGAGCTCTGCTCCCTTCATGGGGAAATAATTTGTGTTCTCCACTGATCTTCTGTAGTCAGACTGATTCTGCACAACCTGGGCAAGGGGGTCATGTCCTGTTAGAGAAGTTGAGACCAAACTATGATATCTTGGCTACAGGAAATTTTCCTAATGTGTCTTTGTCGCTTTTCACAAGTGCATTTGCAAATTTTTGGAGAAAAAAAGTGACTAAAGATGGAGTGGAAGGGGAGGGATGTGTGAGCTTTCATACTGATCTGACTTGCTTGTGGTTAAGAAACAAAATGATACCTTGATTATGGAAGAACCACCGTGTCCCAGGTGCCAGCCAGGTCCTTGCTTGGAAGGCTGGTGGTGCTGAGCAAGTGAGGTGCTGCAGACACCCTGGGACTTCCCTCAGCCAAGCCCTCTGCAGGCACCAGCACTAGCTAAGTGTGTTGTGGGCAAAGCTGGTGGTCAGACTCATGCATTCAGAGCTGCTGAGAGGAGTGCAGACCCAACAGAGCTTCCTTCCCTCAGCAGGGAGCAGGAGAAGGCCTGGAAGGGCAGCTGAGCTCCCTCTGTGCTTCAGCCACCCATGGAATGGAGAGTGGCTGTGTCTGCCACCAACATCTGGGGGAGCTTGTGCACTTTGTCCTGACCTGGGTAGAAGCTGAGCAATACTAGACATCTGGACAGGTTCTTACTTTGGTTTCCTTATGCATTTTTTTGTTCCCTTTCCCCTTCTTCTTTGCAGTACGTGGTCATCCCGACGCGCCGTGCGACCGCAGTGGCCTTGCAGAGCTTCACTTCACACCTCCTGGGAGATGCTGGCAGCCCTTACCTGATTGGATTTGTAAGTGCTCACAGCAGCTCTTGGCAGGGTTGCTGTGCCCACGTTTGTCTCTGTTTACTATCTGAAATGCCAAGTTGAGCCATGCTGGGGAAGGAAGGCCTGTATTTACCCCCAGACTGGGAAGCTCTGCAAGGCAAGGCAACTTCTTTACATGCTTGTGGTACCAGTGGGTTACAATTCAAACCTGGAAGGACATGAGGGAGCTTCTAAATCTTTTTTACCATTGGTGAAGCTTATACAAAGGTCTGTAAAGGGAGAGCAGTTGCTTCTGTGGTGTGGACATAGGTCCATTAGAAATCAGATTGGAACAGAGCTCTGTGTGTGTGACTGTTCATCTGGTCTCCTCAACCAAGTATCTGTTTATGGTTAGCAACATGCAGCTGTTAGGACCTGCTGGGATGTTTTGTATCATGACTGAGGGTGTAAAACCCATGGCAGGATGGGTGTGTATGTTGTGGAGGTTTTATCAGTATTCCTTTCTGCTGTGTAGGGGTTTGGTTTTTATCAGAGCTCTTCCTTTCTGTTCCTGCTGCTGTTGTTGGGCTTGGTCTGGCTGGAGGTCTCCCTCCTTAATTACCATTATCCCAGTGCAGAGCAAGACAAGAGCCTGCTCCAAAAGCTGGTAATCAGGGAACATTCCCAGTTGCAAGGGCTGGGAAATGTAATGAGTAAAAGACATCTAGATACACTGCTGTCATTTCTTTCCCTTGCACCCTTCTGTGGAGTTTGGTGCACTGAGCTTCAGAGAACACAGATCAACACTTATCAAACACAGTGGCTTCCATGGAAAGCCCTCAGTGGCTCTGCTCATGTTGTGCTGAAGGTGCTGGAGTTTTCCAGGGATACAACTGGGATCTTCACTAGTTCCACCACCTGAGAGACAAGCCCCTGCTGTGCTCTTCCAGCTCAGCACTGCTGTGTGACACAGCTGCTGAGTGCTGTGGACCACCCATCCTTCCTCATCAATCCATCCCATAGACACTGGTGTGTGTATCTAGATGTATCTACTTATATTTTTGTTTGTTTGTTTTGATATATTTAAATATAAATAACATTTATTCTTGAAGGCCCAGCTCCCAAAAATGATCTGGTTGCTCTGTAGCCCTTTGAAACTTGTGAGGAGACACAGATAAGGTTGGATGGACCAATGAAATGAGAAATCTCTCAAGAGAATAAAGAGATACAAGTTTGCTTACTCTTTGTTTACTTCAATGTCCTGGGCACCCAGGGAGAAATGATCTTGTTTTAGAGATTATTTGAAAGTGGTGAGAACAAAGGGATGAGTGGCAGAGAGGGGTTTGTGCAGGGGCCATGGGGAGCTCCAAGGAGTGGGGTGCTCCAAGCAGACCAGCTTCTTCTCAAGCAGGCACCAGGGCTGAGAGGCAGGGTTGGGGCCATCTCAGGTGACTGCTGCATGTCCCTTCTTTTTGTGATGTAAGAGGGATGTCCGTGAGGAATGGAGAGGCCCCTGAATGATTGCAATTAATCTTGAAAGTTGCCTCGGGCTCTTCAGTGTCACGGATTTAAAAAAAGGGCTTTGGTTGCAGAAAATCATATGCCTTGCCCTTCTGGTATGGAGAGATGAAGCAAGTTGTGAGTTACTTAAGGGATGCCAGCCTGAAATAGCTGCCTTAGGCTTTCTTAAGTCTGGGAAAATATTCATTATGATTTTGAATTACTCTTTTCTAATGCTGTAGTTGCTGGGCAGTTCTCATGTGAGAGGTAACTATCCAAGTACAAGGCTCTGTGGCAGGAGAGCAGGAGTGAAGCACTCAGGGGAGGCAGCAGCATCCTTTTCTGCAGCCTCTGGGCTGGACTGGCTGACTCATTCTCCCTGTGCTAGAGACTGGAAGGTCAACTGCAGCTCCCTGGTGACGTAGGGAAGCAAGTCATATTTAAAGTGAACAGACAAACAGCTTCTCCACCACAGCTAAGACAAACAATCAACTTTATTGTTAAAATCTGTAGGTGTTTGCCATTGGAATTGTCCAGCTGAGTTCTGGGGTGGAGATCTTTGTGCAGGATGGAAGCCTCACTTGGGCAGGTTACAGAGGAGCCTTGGATTCTGACTGGGATTTCCATGCTAAGGGAGCTCAGCTCAGCCCATACTTCTTTTGTCTTGAAGAGAAATTTGGGAACTCAATTCCCATAGCCCTTGTGGGAACCCCCAGCCTGAGGACATCTACCCATGGTGCTGTATCTCCAGAGTCACCATGAAGCAGCCCAAGAGCAGAGTGTGGGTCTTGAGAGGCAGGATAAACCTAGGGAGCTGCAGCAACCAGAGCCCGGGCAGCTCCTGAGTGCTTGGATCTCATCTCAGCCCCTGAAGATCTGCCATTCCTGCAGGCTGCTTACAAACCCTCCTGCATCTTCCTCACTAAATGACCAGTGTTTTGCTCCAGACTTGGCTGGGGTCTTATATGGTTTGGGGCAATTCCTAGGGAGGTTCCCTCCAGCAGTGCTCTTAGTAAAGAACTGAACACCCATGTCCTTGTAGGACGGAGCTGTTGCAGGCAGTTGTCTCTGCTGGATACCAGTACATGTTGTAATGATCTTATAATCCTCACATGGGATGAAGAAGGTACTTAACAGCTGCAGCCTCATGTGTGCAATTGCCTCCTTGATCCGTGGTGTGCTGGAAGAGTTGAAGGTCCCATTTTCCTGTAGCCAGTTCCAAATCTTGCAGTGCAGCTCCTTCCAGTCACCCAAAGCAGCAAATAGATGGTAGTGTTTACAAGCTAAGTGGAAGGAAGCATGTATGTGTGGTTATTTTTCATGTCTCTTTAAATATTGATAACTTTTATTATGGTAAAAAGGCTGAAGATTTATTTACAAAGAAGTTATGCAAATGCAGTTTCAGGGTGGCAGCTGTAATTTGCAGAAGGTTTTACTCCCTGCCAAGCACTGAGATCAGTGACTATAAATCAGTGCTGCCTATTCATTCACAAATAAGGATGGGCATTGCTGCAGTATTTCATTAGATGAGACAGTTTTTATTCCTAGATAACTATAACTTTTTCAGGACCTTTGTGGTAACCTGCAGAGTTTAAGTAATTCCTGTTTCACAACTTGGAGTGTAACATCATGCTTTGTTCTTGAGGTAGTCACTGAGAAATGTCACCTGTTCAGTGCATTACACCCAAATATCTCTGGTTCTTCCTGTCTTTGAAGGGTCCCAGGGACAGTAGCAGAAGCACAGAGCAGTGAAGAGAAATACCCCAGTGCCACCACTGGTGTTGAGCAGCAGCTAAAGGCTTTCTTACTGCTCTTCCTGTGCCCTCATGCCTAGACAGCATCCTCAAAGGAGAAGAGCTGAGTGGAGGCATCCAGCAGCAGAATGTGAAATATCTTCACTCTTCTCTTGCTCCAGCTCTTTGTATTATTAATTCTGGTTAGATCTTTGTTGCCCTTTCAAATGAAGTAAGTGTAAGAAGTGCCTGTAGGTTCATCTGTGCCCACACGTGCCTGGGCCTGCCTGCCCTCCTCAGGGTGTGCATTATCCCTTCCCACCAGCAGTGCTCTGCCTGCACTTGCTGCCATGCTCCTTTGCTTCAGGAAAACCAGGTACAGGCAGTCATTTTTCTGCTTTTGAAGCCATGCCTTGGTACTTTCTTTTCTTCAAGTCTGTCATTTGTCTCCTGTGGGAGCAGAGCAGTGCTTTCCTCTTCCATCCTTGCCTTGCTTCTAGCTCTGGCTGTGATGAGGACCCTGCAGGACCTGCAGGCTTTGCTCTCCCCATGTGTGCCAGGGCTGTGGCTGCTGTGGACACACACTGTCCTTGCTGCTCTGGAGCTGCTGGGTCTCCTCTTTGCTTCCTGCTTCATTCAGTTCTTTCTCATCTCCCCTGTGCAACCATCCATCAGGTGTAGAGGTTACAACCTGTCTGTCTCTGTGTGTCACCTGGCAATCAATGTGTCAGGCTGGTATTGGAGAGCACCAGAGATCAGCTCTCCTCCCTCAGCATCTTTTGATGGGCTAAAAGCTACTCCCTGTGCTTGGGTGGTGGTGGTACCTGCCTGTCCTGACCTCCTTGGCTGCTGCATCTTTCATTTACACCCTCCAGCCACTCTGGCCAAGCAGCATCAGGACATCATGCCATGGTCTGGCAACTCAGCTGTGGGAGAGGGGAGTCCCCAGTCAGTCCTGTGTGTGCTGAGGGTCACACCAAGGCTCTCAGCATCTGTCCATCCTGGTTCTGCAGATCCCCTGAATCTCTGGGGCCCTGAGAGCCTCCTCTTGGCAGAGTCACTTTGTGGTGTCTGGGGGTGCTGGGTCACCTGGCAGCAGAGCTCACAAGGGGCTGGAGAGGGATCTTCTCTTTCCACAGTTCCCTTTCCAAACATAGGTCTGGGTATGAGCAACCTTGGCATTAATTGCAAGCAAATCTGGGCTGTTCTGTTTCAATGGGGTTTTGTGCAGCTCCTGATATTACCTGGCAAAATGTTAAGGACAAGCCTGTCACTTGTCAGCCTTCACTTTTCCCCCTTTCCCAAATTTCCTATAAACTAGATCTAATGAGCTAGTTAAATAGCAAGAATGTTAATGACCTTTCTTTAGCAGGTAGTTAGCAAAACAGTGTTAATTATCACTGGTGCAGAGTATCAGGGAAGGCAGATCAGCATTTGATTAGGGGCAACTCAAGGAAAATTATAGTAAATGCAGCAATTAAGATACTTTTTAAATGAAAGTTATAATTGGAGGTGTAGATTTCACAGTTGTCTTGTCCCAGTTTGAGCCTTTTTGTTGATTTGGTTTCCAAGGTGTTTACCCACCCAAGTAAAGATATTAGTATAGAAAGTAGTTCTATATATAGACTTGCCTGCCTGAGGAAGCAGAATTAATATATCATGGTTTTAAATGTGTATTTTGTGGTTTCAATTGCTATGGCTACTTCAGAACAGACCTGTGGATGTGCTCACTCTGGAGTAACATTTTTTGCCAGTTTAGTTTGCTGAACAGGCCAGAGTCTGCTGAGGCTCAGATCAACTGCAGTCTGACCT